CCCTTTGACCGATTGCGTTGGCAGCAATAGCCTGCCCCCAGCCGTCGTGTCCACTGCTTCCAAATATAATGGAACGAGAATGCGACAATAAATCGAGTCAGTTAACTTGGTGATTTCCCTCTAACAACACAAATCCGAGTCGTGGAATTCCTAAGAAATGTTGAAAGGTCACCTTTTCTCCTTCCGATAGTAGGCCAGTGCAATGAGATAGACAATACAGAGTACCGTTGAAAGTGCAAAAAGAAGAGTTATGAATAAGAAGTACCGCGATTCTGAAAACAAGTACATAGGCTCTATGTTATGACCCACAGTGCAGTCGTATCTCTGAAGTCAAACAGGGCGTGTCGAAGGTGCTTGAGTTCTGGCGTAGCGCCAGCCCGTCTTTTCGCTGACCCGTTCGGCTTCGGGCGTTCAATGAGTGATGGGAAAAGGCGTGCGGAAAGACCCACAAGCCGCTGACAGGCCTCCGGCTCGCTTCGATGATAACGACTGTACTTCATAGTACTTTGTGACATTTTTTTGACTTTGTGGTACTTTATAATACTTGATGATACTCCAAAATAGTAACATTTTACGAATGTAGACACTACGAGAAGGCTCTACAAAAAGGCTCACCTCAAGAAAAGGATTCCACCAAAGCAAATCTTGGCAAGTCGTTAAGTATATCTAGCGCATTGCGGCAACCGATAAAGAGCTGATAATTCGAGACGATACGGTCAAATGTCACTGTATTCTTGGGAACGATCGGTCTCTATCGGTTTATCGTTGATCAGGCGGTTAGAGTATTCCCATTAGAGTTCTTATCGATGAGTGAGAGGGTTCTCACTTTCTAACGTTTACCCTAGGCTTTCATATATAAGTATAGTGAAAAAGGCCGCACAGCCCCCAAGTAGCGTCAGAGGGAAGAAACACTCGTTTCCGCTGCAGACGCTCAGTGGACGTGTCAAAGGGGCTGGGTTTGTTGCAGCTCCAGCTTGTTCCCACTAAGTGTTGTCGCTTGCCGCTTCAAATGGTGGAGAACGACATGTCGCCGCGCCACACTGAGCGCTGATACGGCTCAGCGTAAGAAGCGGAAACGACTAGAGATTATTTATCATCATCCATTACTCTGATATCCCTTGAGATTGAGCTAGTCATAATTTCGGCTCTATTGGTCTCTGCGGTAAGGTCAACCTTATATCCCGAAATAATGAAGGGCGTGGCTGCGTTTCGAACATGGCGTATTGGGTTTTTTTCCTGCTGGATACGTTAGTTCCGCCCAAATTTCATTTTGTTTGCGCGAAAGTCCGTGATTATATCTATCCTGAAAAGGCAATGTTCAGTCGAAGCCACGTTCAAATGAAGTGCGCAGCCACACCCCCACATGCTCTCGAATATGGAGGATTAGAAGAAGTGATGAACACCTCACCACATCATTTTTCAATTTGTCAGCTATCAAAAATTGCAAAAAATTACCTACCACGGGATATGACGTCATCCGATACTTTTTTGACATTGATGACAAACAGAACTGCGTTTCCATTCGTAGCCAAGATCTGTAAAAAGCTGATCCACTTTTATATTCCGTGAGTGGAGGATGCATTCTGTGATAACTGGAGGGACAAGAGATAGACGGGCACTCATAACCCTTGTGCGTTCTTCCTAGCACAACAGAGTAAGGACACGTACTAAGCCAAATTGGTCGCGAGTCCCCGCCCATCTGGTTATCGCGGCTGCCTTCAACTGGTCGCCTCGAAGCACGTTCCATACTACGAGATGGGGATTGCGTGGCTGCGCACTTCATTCAAACGGTGGGCTATGGGATTCTGTCTTTCAACAACTGTAATCATGCCTTTGACCGGCGCAAAGCAGGATTGCAATT